TCATTGATAATTCAATCTCATGCTAATTTCAATTTAGTAAAACCGATAGTTTGGAGACCATCAAATCGAGACATCACGTCAATGGAAGGTGAAATTTTGACACGATTATATTTGAATAATACTTGTTCCATCATCGCAGATAAACTCAATCTAACCGAGTTGAACAGAGTATCGTTTACAAATTGGTGTGATAATAGTTTCGAACGGAATATCATGCAACCAATAAAAGAAAATTGTAGACATAAAAACTTAATGGAAAAGAGAAAGAAAAGAGAAATCTTTACAATTTTAGCTATTAGTGCTGCTCTTTTTGCTGGAATCGGTGCTCTTGGTTTATCCATTCACAATACAATACAGGATGGTAACCATAACGAAATTATGTCCAAATTAACTACAAACCAGAACAAGGCTCAAGAAGCGATAAATAAATTGGAAGAACGTGTTAATTCATTAATCGATAAAGTTGATAATCAAACTGTTCGTTTAAATACATTTGAAAGGACCTCTCTTCTCGTTTCTCTTACAACCGCAGATTTAGCCGCCCAGTATAGTATAAATCAAGTCCAATTAATCGATGTTTTCGAAAATTGGAAAGATAAAACAATTAGTGCCCAATTATTTAGTCTTTTCAATCTCACTCAACATGATATTCAACTCTATCCAAGACGCTTAATGACTCCAATTAAATGCATCCTCAACCCATATGAAAATTACATTGACCTACTAATCCATGGTCATAAATTAAATCCTGATTATCTTATCATGGAAGCAGATCCATTCATCCTCAAAAAATCAACTAATGATTGTCTATTTTATAAAGGCCCAAAAACAGTGTTGTATAACTTGAAGTCAAATCACATTTGCGATACATATAGTTATGCTTATTCTGGCCCATTACAATTACGACACGATTTTGAATGTAAACAAAAAATGGTTCCGGAAAAAGATACAAATTTTTGGAAAACTTCACAATGCCCAAATCTCAATAATGGAGAAAGTTTACTTCAAGTGAAGATCTCAGAAGAAAAGAGATTTGTTTATTGTTTTGGACATGATATCAAACTAAATAATATCTCTCATAAATGTCCTGCATGGGTTTTCAGTCATTCACTTAATTTACCTCTACAAATCGATAATCATTCATTCCCTTACTTCACCCTAAAATATGTTAAATCAAACATCATTGACCCAAAACATTATGATTGGATTGATCAACAAGTTTTTGCTGGAATTGACCATTCAGAATTATTGCCTAAACTTGAAATAACTAAATTTAACCCACTTCAAGAAGATAGCCATTCTAAGTGGATGATTTTATCATCAATCTTAATCTCATTTATCTTAATCTATTTCTCAATTTGTCTTTTTAAGAAAATTCAACTTCGTTTTCTCTACACTCGACCTGGATTAATTCAGCCAGATCTAATAAACGAGGAAATCGAAATGGAAGAAAAAGATTCTGAATTCCCTAAAACTAATGAAAATATAAAAGGAATATTAATCCCAAATTAACATTTTAACCAAAATTTATTAATCATTATTAACTAACTAAATTCATAACTAATTTACCTTCATTCTCATCTACACTTTTATCATCCTCATCATCATCACCATCATCATCTTCAGTTGATATATCATTTTAATTATATTTTAATCACAATTTTTTTTTTTTTTCTCTCTCTTTTATCGTTTAGAAAATGAATCCTAAAAAACGATTAACTTTCACAGAATATAAATTACGCAAAACGATTCCTCAAAATCTCACTACGATTATTGAGAGAATAGATCTCGATTCAGAATCAATTATCGAATATGAAACACCGAAGAATTCTAGATTTCAACTTAATTCTACAAACACCAGCTTCAATGTAATTCCATCGACATCTACAATGTCCACTGTTACTTCAAATCTGGATAAAACCATCAAAGAAAGAGAGGATCTTCGACGGGAACGTTGGAATTTCATTCCAAATGCTTCTAATCAACCTGATTTACGAAAAGATGAAATATCAATATTCAATTTTTCAAAAACAATCAAAGTTCATTTAGATAAGAGATTTTGGATGTCGATTTTTAATGAACATGGAGTCATGAGAATGGGACAAAGACAAAAATTTAATCTACGTTCTTCACGATTTGAAATCTATCTTGGGAGAGAGTCTTTATTTACTATAATAATCATCCTTTCAAATGATCCTGAAGAACATAATAGAGGATGTGAACTTTTAAAATCTATGGCTATTAAATCTGGGTATTATCAAGAACTACCATGTGACTATTGTTCAATCTGCTATTCCATCCAACATAGTACAAGAAATTGTACATCATGTTCCTTTTGTCATCAACCTTCGCACTTGGCTATAAATTGTGTAAAATATCAACAAAGTAAACGACCTGGAAGTAAATTCGTAAATCCGGAATTAGTTATAAATAACATGGTAACCAGTGATAACCCGAAATTTAAAAACAAAGCAACTCCAGTGGTTAAGAGGCACATCAAAAAAGATTTGAATTTAGGTGTTGCTTTCAGAAATCCAGGACAAGTCATGATGGCAGGTATTTTAAGTCCCGATAAAGTTATTCTCAAACCAATTGGTGATCCTCCATTACAAACTGTTGCACTTGATTGCGAAGGTTGTTCCAGATACAATGGATCGGAAGAGAAAAATACAGTTAGTCGACTATGTTTGGTTGGTTACATCGATGCGACGTTAAGAGTTAATAATCTCTATTATACTTGTGTCAAACAACATAATATGAGCCGATATAATCTGAGTTATGGTGGTGTAGCTCCTCCCGAGTTATTAAAAGGTGAAGAACTTGGAGCAGTACAAAATAAATTACTACGAATCCTCACTGGTAAACGATTAATTCTTCACCATGGTGATACTGATCTCACTCTCTGTGGCCTTAATCAAAAAGATTTAGAAGAAAATTATAAATGTAAAATAGTTTTCTTAAGTGACCTTTTCCGAGATTCAAAAGGACAACATTTTGCTCTGGCTAAACTCTATCATTTCCTTGCTCCAAATGCACAAGATATTCAACAACCAGGAGCAATGCCAGGAGGTAACCATAATCCAGAAAAGGATGCAAGGGCAACATTAAAATGTTATCTAAAATGGCTAAATCATCCTCATCGAGACCTACTAACATCTAAAGGTGACCTGATTCGTGAATTGATCAATGAAAGAAAATCCATAAATGATTTCGATAAAATTCTAAAAACAACAACTTGGAATGGTGAATGGGAATGGGAACAAAAATTACCTTGGGACGGCAAATGGAACTGGGAATAATCTAACGAATTGTCAAAAGAAACAAATATGCTAATAAAGACTGAGGACAGTCTTTTTCCCCCAGACCGGCCAATTGTGATGATGATATTTTTTTTCTCTCTCTCTCTTTCTCTGTCTTCATTTTCCTCTCTTTCTTTTCCAAATTCCTTTCTCTCTTTCGCATCTCTCTCATTTCCTTTTCCTCCCTTTCCACACCTTTTTCCTTTCTTCTTCTTTTCTCTCTCTTTCTCTAAATTCCTTTTCTCCTTTCGTTTTTCCTTTCTACCTTCTCTTTCTTTTTTCTCTGTCTTTTTTCCTTTCTCTTTCTTTCTCGCTCTTTCTTCAATCATTTTACCTGAAGGTTGGGAACCGATAACAACAAAATTACCATTTTTGTTTAGTGCTTTCTTTTTTGTTGTTACTTATTTAATTAATTTATTTAATTGGTTAATGAATTTCTTCAAATTGATTTGAACAATTTAAAGGTAAAATGATTGATTCATTTTTTCTCTTTTCTTTTTTTTTCCTCCTCCTCCAATTGTCTCCGTTCTTACCACAACTGGTGCCAGCTGTGGTGGACATTCTTGTCCCCTTCCATTTAATATTATTCTAAATAGGTTAACACCAGGTAGCCTGATGTTAACCTATTGTTATTAATAAAATATCAATAAATATAATATTAAATTAGTTCGAAGTAGTTCCATTAGTAATTTCAATTACTAAACCTCAGCCGTCATAACCTTAGCCATTAAACCTCAGTCGTTATAAACTTAGCCATCAAACCTCAGCCACAAGAATATTAGCCGCCGACTCTTAATCGCCGAATCTTAACAGACTAATCTTAATCAATTGAATCTCAGCCATTGAATCTCAGCCATCGAGTCTTAACTACAAGAATCCCAGTCATTTAATAGCCAGAAATCATATTAATTCAATTATAATTATTGTTAATAACCTTCAACCGTTAAACTTGATTGAAATTCATCATCATCACCAGAATCTCATCACCAGAATCTCATCACCAGAATCTCATCACCAGAATCTCATCACCAGAATTTCATTACTAGAATCTTTATCACCTCATCGAACTAACCAGGTAGCCTGATTAGTCATCTTTATTTATCTTTATATTATATTTTATGTAAAAGGTTACTTAATTAATAAGGTTACAATTCTCAGGTTAGAAAATCAATTATGAATATACAGTAATTAATTTAATAGTTAATCAGAAAATTAATTTAGGAAACAACAACAATTAAAGTTAGACCATTAATTATCGGAAATCGTTAATAGTTAACTCAGTAAAATTACAGGAAATCAAATCAATTAACCAATTTAATAGTAATCAGTTAGTTAAGATTCACAGGGTAATTAAATAAATCAATTAGTATAAAGTTCCCATGAGAATCAATTTCATCGATTAGATCAAGAAAATTCGACATCAGTATAAAATCAAAAGTAAATCAATTAGAATCCTCAGAGTTAAATTTTCATTTGACTACTCAAGTTCACCTTATTAATTAATTAATCTTCTTTTCTTTTAATTTGTGTTCAATTGATTTTCATTAATTCTTTTCTTTTAATTTGTGTTCAATTGATTTTCATCAATTCTTTTCTTTCTAATTTGTGTTCATTGATTTTCATCAATTTCTTTCTATTAATCCGTATTCTTATATTTTCTTCTTCTTTATTATATCTTAATCTCTTTATTGTTCACCCTCAATTATAAATCAATTATTAACTTGTGTACCCTTCTAAACATTTTATAAAATTATTACCATTAAACTTTAATTTGCCATATTTAAAACCGTCACAAAAACAAACGTGACATATAAATTGAACTGCTCTATCTTTTAATTTGACGATTCGTAGATTTCTGGTCAAATCGTCCATTGAACTACGAGAAGACTCAATTCTCTTAATTCCAGCACCAACAAGAGTCCACATTGGCTGATAATAATGGAACTGGAAACGAGAAATAAACGAAAAGATTAATTTACCAGGTAAACCCACAAAAATCTGCAACAATTAACTAACCGACGAAGGTTCAATTAAGGCGATGTTTAATTTCTTATGGTAACGGCCCATTTTCCAGGCTAAATTCATACCAGCAGTTCCTCCACCAACAATTGCGATGTCAAATGTTGCCGGTAAACGACTTGAAACATTAGACAAATATCTTACACTTGAGAACATGATTAATAAGATGACAATAACGTAACAATAATCCAAAGTAAAATCCAATCAATTTCTCAAAATGAAATCATTTGAAATCATTAATCTCAACTTAAAATTGAAAAACAATCAATTTGTAAACAGAAAACAGCTGAACTACAAGCGCCATCTTTTGATAGAAAAGCAAAAATTTTAATGATTAATTTTCTTCATTTTATGAAATCTCATCGTCTAATTATCTAAATTGAAACACTTGACTTTACTCAACCAACTTTGACTATTTGATTATTTGACTTTTCACGTTTTGAACATCGAGTAACAATTAACATATGCTAATCATTTTTAATTGCATATAATAAAACCCTTTGTGAGTTTTTTCACTTGTTTGAAAATTTTTCAAATTCAGTTAATTATTCTAATTATCAAATCCAAGAGGAAAAACATTCACTATTAATAAAATTAAGGTCAATTATCATAAATTGTAAACAAAGTTACAAATAATATTGACCAATCAATTAACCTATGAAACCACGGAAGCAATTGAATAAACGCCAATTATCTTGAATATAATTCGCAAATCAATTTAATGATCCTCATCATGAGGTCCAATCGTAAATACCGGAAGACAATCAGTGGATCATTAACCTTAGTGAAGATAAACATTGATATTTATGAGCATTTTGGCAAATATGATAATCTTTGTTTGATATTAGTTTTAATCTAATAAACATGATACAAAGATTTTTGTTCTTATCAATCGATAATCCAATTGTTAAATAACAAAGAAAAGTATAAAAACTTTTTCTTCTTATATTTTCGACTACCGATTGATCATTTCACTTTCTTGCCATCAATAGTAAAGTAACATTCTTATTTTTTGACACATTTGTCCAACTATTTTCTTTGTGAGTTTTGAATTTCGCTTAATTGTTGAAAAAGACAAAAACATCTAACATGGAAGACGATAATTGTTCAATTGCTTCGTATGTTGATAGTGACGAGGATACAAATGTTTCGCAAGTTCAACGTCCAGAATACTTTTATCAAATTTTCGCGATCCGAAGTAAATCTAATGTTGATGTTGATGTGAAAGCGATCAATGGACTCGCTGAGATGTACCATCTTAAAAGCCACTATGATGTTAACAAATTTATCAATTGGGATTATGATCAAGGTGAAATTGATCATCTCGGTGTTTCTGTTGACCCTAATGGTGCAAAAGCAATTTGGGATAACATCAATAAGCTTCAAGAAACTATTATCACAAGTGAAAGTGCGCGTGACGGTGCTTCGAGTTCAACAAGTTCTTTTGTCGTGTTAGACCTTGAAAAAGAAGGTCATTTCATAAGCGATCGTCAACAATTATCTTTGGTTAGTGATCAACAATCATCAACTTCGACTATGAATTTTAACAATTTCTCAACTCATGAAATGGAAGACGGAAAGAAGCAAGAAGACGAGGAGCAAATCTATCAAGGTAATGACTAAACTTCACACAAATTGAATCAGAAACTAATTTTGTATTGTTTATATTCATTAACATAATTCATTGATGATAAATTAGACCAAGAAGAAGAGTATTTCTATGAAAACTATGATCTTGATAGAAGTTCATCCAGTGATTCAATCAAAGATGAACGAGAATACGAGTTGAGAGAGCTACTTGAAGAAGAAGCCCTCAATCGTCATGAAACTTCAACTAGCGAAGAGTCAGGCCAAGAAGACGATTCGGAAAATGAAACGAGTTTGGAACAACCGAGGGAGCGAGAGGGCAGCCGGGAAAAAAGGATTGAAGAGATTGGGCCGAACCAAGAAGAGGATATCGATTACAAAAGATACAAGGCCTATTTAGAGTTGATAAATGGAGGAAGGCCCATGATGAGCCCGTTTCGACCAAGGGCAAGGCCAAGATTTGAACCAAGGCAAGTGAAACCATTTGAATTCGAGGAGTTTAAACAAATCTTGGGACAAACCGAAACTCGAATCGTTTATGAAAGATGGCATAGATCCAAACCGGAAGCGATCGAAGAAGTAAATCACAAAAACTCTTGGCCATAATCTAAAAAACTACTTTGAGAACAATTATATGTGAGGGAAAAGCTGGGAAAGAATTTATTTTTCAGTTTTTCATAATTATAAGAATAAACTTGATTTAACAAGAAAAAAAATGATTGTTGAAAATCCTCATCTCGAAGTGATTTGATGGCAAGACTGGATCAACTCTTTATACTTGTTCCATTTTTCTCTTAGTTGTTTTGAAAACTATTGTAAATAAGAAAATTGAAAAATTAGTCAATTGAAATTATTGAAAATTCATTAAAAAATTAATACCTCTTCATAATCTTTGGAATCTTCTTTTTCCGTATCGAGGATTTTTAAAAGACACTTTATGTGTTGGTGTGGAAAGTAAACAATTTGTTTACTACCCATGACAGGAGCCTAAAGAATAAATGAAACAAAATCAAGTTATAAAAAAACAATAGACCGGTGATGTTTTGCTAATTTAAATACCTGAATATCGAAATACTCAGTTCCTTGACCAAGATAACCATCAATAAGTTCTAAAGAGAAGTTGTATGCATCTTCGATATAATCGTAACTCATTAGAATAAATAGAAGCTCAGGCGAATTACGTTTCTGTAAGAGTCGAAAAAGAAAATGAAACAAACATTATTAGCCTAAATGTAAATAGTAATTTCAGTCTGAAAGAAACAATTTTAGACAAATAAATATTAAGTATAAATGTAAATGATAATTTTAATCTAAATTGATACTCACTTGGTATGAAAGTTTCAGTGGTGCGGGGAGAGGTATTCCTGATTCCAAGAGTTTCTCAGCGACACATTTATGGAGACGAGATTGTTTACCTTGCTCGTACTTCTCAATGTAGGCCAATATGAGGAAAAGTAACTTATCAATCGCTGGCATCTCAGCATTGGCAATGAAACTCAAAGATGCAGTATCATTTTCTATGAAGCATTCGTTAATCTCCATGAGACCTGCTTCCAAACTCATCTTTCGGAAGGGTAACTCGGTGAGGTAAACATATTTGCTTACTAGTCCTTCGAGAATCGGTTCATAGGGTAAATTGAAACGAGTACTCAATTGGAAGGCAAGGTCAAATAAAAGGTTCGAGATTAGAATAGTAACAGTTTCCTCAGCTGATAAAGGTGTTGATGCAATTGAGTTTAGTTTAACACTTTTTTCCAATAGCTTATATCGAGCATTAGTCAATTCATATTCTTTCTCAATGTCTTCGATGCTTAAAACTTGAATCTCTTTACAGGTCATGGTTTCCATTGTTTGTGATTCTTGAACATCATCTAGACCATGTTTACGTTTGATTGACGAGGAAACAGATGATGTTGACCTTCCATAAGGTAAGTTAACTGCTACTTTGATGGTTGGCTGAATAATCCAAGCATATTTGGGATCGATCAATTTAAGTGAGTTAATAGCTAACAGTAAACATCGAGCTTGTTTCTTTAGACTTTCAACTCCATTTACTTCTTGACATAATCTTTTAGCATATTCGTAGATGATAGATGCTGATTTACGATAATTATCTCCCTTTACAAAGTATGCGTACAATATTTCATAGAAATCAACTTTTTTCTCGGTCTGAAGAAGATCAGTTGATCGAGCTCGGAATTCGAGTATACTAATGAAGTCATCTTCCATTTCATCATAGCGATAGTTGATCATTTCAGCGATCGCTTGTTTTTCATACAATTTAACGGTAAATTGACGAAGACAGTCTTTCCGTTGGATTGGTGAAGGATTGAGTAACATTGAACAAAAAGCATCAGCAGTGTTACCAAATTCTAGATGACACATGAAGATAGTTGTCATGAATGAAGAGAAATGTTGATTGTAAGAGGCTTCACTTTCATCTAGCAAATCAATCGCTCCAAGAGCAAGATCAAGAATTATATCATTGAGAGAGTGTAATCGACACAAACGAAACAGTTTGTTGAAATATGATGTTATCTCAGCATTGGTAAGTGAGTCACTTGATTTTCGTTCAATCGATGATGCACTAGGAACATTGGCAAGAAATATTTTCTGTAGAAAAGATTCTTCCAAAAGTCCATGTAATGCTTGATGGAAAAAACCAACGGATTTTTTAGGTTCACCAAAGAAAAGTTGAGTTATTCCCATGACAAATCGACGACTGGATATACTATGATCGCACCAAGAGTCCAAAATTTTGGAGTATTGGTCAATCATATCAAATTGCTCGTAACCAAGTAAGAAACGGAGCACATATGATGAGTAAGAAGTAGGCCATATGATTGATCCAATGGCTTGAACCAGGAATGGTTGGATTGCTACCCAAGTTTGACAATCTTCCGGTTCTATGACATCTTCCAAACGTGAAGATAAAAGTTTACGAGCTGATGAACATTTCTTATGACCAATGAGATAGGCAATGATTGATTTAGGTGCAAAATCGTGTACTAATGCATTAGGTGTCGGTGGATTACGATTAACGTTGATAAATTCATGGAGTTCAAGTGTTGCTAAAAGGGTGACGGTGTTTTCGATTCCAAGGAATGTACTATCTTTAAGTGACATACTTGTCTCACAAAGCCAAGTCATTGAGAAATACGATCGAAGACACAACTTGTTGATAGATATCAAGTTTTCCAATGAATCACTTAACCGCTCATAGTCGGTTGAATTAATGGTTGATGAACGAAGAAGAAGTTGGAAAAGAAAGAGATCACGACAAAATTCATAACGAAGTCGACACATTTGCTTGATACTTTCAGTTAGTACACAAGTTCCAATATTCCCACTTAAAAATTGATCCAAAGATTGTTGAGCCATCTCAGTTGATGATTCCATAATTTCATCGGGTTGATCTTTAGATTCTAAGTTTAAAACTCGTAAAACTAGTTCAATGGCATCCAAAAGTCGAGGTGAAATTTCAAGAGCATCTTCAACTGATGACAATAGACCTGATGATTTGACGGATTCAATATCACATTGGTCAGAAGATAGAAGATATTTATTAGCTATATCACGATAAACTTGTTCGATTGGTTCTTCTGATGAGCAACACATTTCAAGTTGAAGAAAAGCATCTTCATCGAGGTAACTGTTGATTGTCTTGATAAATTGTAGTAAAACTTGTAAACTGGTTTCAAGGGAAATGTCATCTGTAAGAATATTGGAAATTGTATAACTAGGTGAATGGACTTGTGAAAGAAGAACGTGATCAATAGAATCATTAGCTCGAAGATATGATACACTTGAGACTCGTAATATTCCAGTTAATCCTGTTTGTGAATCCATGAAAAGTCCAAGAGGTTTGTTGAACACATTGTGGTATTGAAGACAATAAGAATAAAACTCATTCCATAATTCACATTCTAAATTGGCATAAAATTCAGGAGATAACTCATTAATTCCAGGTCGATTTCGTAACCTGCTCTCGACAGCATTGGTTACTTCTTCTATTAATGCTTCAGTATTTAAGCAAGAATAATATGATTCATGGGTACGATTTAAAGTCTACAAAAAAATAACATAATAAGTTCATTAGCAACTGAATCGACAAATAAATGAAAAATTATGAATAGAAAGTGACACTTACACTTATAGCTTTGGCAATGGTTTGTGAAGAGAATTTTCCTTTTTTGAAAATTTTCTCAGTGAAAAGTTTTTTTGGACTGATTAACATGGATTTAACATTAATTGGAGGTTGAAAATGACTGTACATTGTAACACTTTGCCAACAAGGAGACTCACTGATGAGAAATGAAAAATTGGATGATTAGAAATTAAACAATTGTAATTATTTTTTGAGCATACCGATTGATCTCCCAATGTGAAAGTGACACCTCGCTTTCAGCGTCAAGCCAAAGAGCCCAAAGGGTTGTTTGGGTGAAGGCAAAATCAACTAAATCTTCTTGAAGGGCATCAATTGATGTGACTACTTTTAAATTTAAATTTTCACCAAATGAGTAAAGTTTGTAGATGATGAATTTTCTTCCAGAGGCCGTGGGAACAAAAGTAGCTAAGAATAACTCATCACTGGAATCCGCTGCTGAATCTTTTTTCAAAACGGGTCTAGTAACTGAGGAAATTGAGAGATAAATTAAAAATGTATACAAAAATTAATATTAGAAATAATTTTTATAATATTAAAAAGTTGATTCATTTGTTTCTTACCAATCATGGGATCATTAGCTGATTTTTGATTTAATGAGCTGGGATAGGTTGATGAAATATCTTGGTAAGATTCAAGAACACTTTCTACTACAATATAATCTTGTTTAGCACAGGACCAAATACGTATTTTTAAATCACGACATAAGGTAATCATGAGGTCATCATCACTGGACAAAGGGCGGTGCCAAAGGATGCTTAGGGCTGCTTGTTCATTTTCTTGATTACCTCTGAAAATTGAGAGAAATTTTTAGAAAGTGATGAGAGTTTGTAACTGGAAGCTGATTCAATAGATTTAGAGGGTAATAGCTACCTTGAGATTACCGAGGGAACCAGATTATAGAATAAGCTTTTGATTAATCCAGTTTGCTTTAGGTTGTAAACAGTTACTTTTCCTGATGAACATGGGGTCATCTTAATAATGGAAATATTTCCATTATAATCAGCTAATGCGAAATAAGATTCACCAACTGAATTTAACCAGGAACATGATCTAACTGGAAAAGGAAGGTCTGATGATGAAAGAGAAACTCCAAGATTGAAAGAATTATTGAGAACATGGTAACTTTCAGGATCCCGTAAATTGGCAGCATTAAGATCATAGAAAATGGATTTTCTAGTGTGTAAATCACTAGGATTAATACTGGATTGACTATGAGGCAGAATGTTAGAACCATTTCGCACCGTGTCCTGAATTTGCAATGAGAAAATAAGAAATTGTGTCATTGATGAGAGAGAACAATTTGAAAAATATACAATCATCTCGAACTTACAACAAGTACAGTTCCAAGTTTTCTAGGATGATTTAAGGTGATGCGATGAATTGATGCAACAGTTGCCAAAAGTATAATAACATGATCACCAATCTCATGGACACTAACACCGTCCAAAATTGGTGTATTGTGAAATCTTAATTGAACATGATTTCGAGCAAGATTGAAGTCTAATGATGTTTCATAAAATTGGATATAATCATTGTTACTTCGCCTAGAAAACAAACAAAGAGAAAAAATGTAGAAATAAAAAAGAGTTAATCACATGAACAGAATTACAACATTGCTTTAAATGATGGATTAAATTTACCAATAAATGAATCTATTACTGGTTGAAGATGACCAAACATTACTATCCTTGTAACAGTAGAAACCAACACTTTCAGCTAACTTGTAATCCTGAAGAGTACTTTGATTGGCACCTATAGAAAAAGAAACACAATTGTAGAGAAGATCAATAGAATTAGATGGATGCCAATAGAGCAGAGTAAAAACAAGAGGTCAAGCTAAACAAATTAGGAAAAATTTTCCACCAAAGCAATACAAAAAAAAGCGATAATTACCAATATCAAGTGAAATCTCCCCTTTGGATGAAGCATGAAGATGGTAAGTGGAAACTTCAGAGTAACTAAGCTTAAATGAATCCATTGAGTAAAATAACCAATTAATTGATGATATTAATTCTAAAACGAAGCGCCCAAACAATTGAACATCGCCAACAACAACAAAGAGAATAAAATAGATTAATCAATAAGCCAACAATTAGATTTAAATTACAGAAAATGAGAGAAAAACAATTTAACCAGAATGATTGTAATTCCTTTCACAGCTTAACCGCCATGCTCTTTACAATCGATTGTCTCATTCTCTTCCAATCGATATATCGAAGAATAGAACAAAAAAGAAACTTTTCCAAAGGCCAAGGCAAGAGCAGAATAATCCAAATTGTAATCAACAAAAAGCCACAAAAAATTAAGCGAAAGCTACTTGAAATTAATTGACAATCCTAAATAAGAATTAATTAATTAAACGAAAAGATTGATGAATTTGAATTGTGATTTTAGAGTCGAAAAAGTAAATAAAGGGTTGCGCATGCGCAGGAGAAGAAATGGATTAGCCAATCAGCGAATGAGTTTCATTGAATGAGCTCAACTGTTGGGTTGTGTTGCCTTCTTGTAATGTGACGATCAACATCATCTTTTTAATTTCTATTTAATTTCAATTAGAAGAGAATTTAATTTGTTTTTCTCAATATTTCCAAATAATTAGTTGTTCTCAATGTCAAGTGGCGATGCTGTAAATATGTCTACTTGTAATTGTACCTGTGAAAGTCATATTGATGATGATGGTGAAAGTGATAATTTAAAAAAAAGCAAACAACCCAAATTGGAGCCGTTAACCTTGTCTGGAATTAAAAATCATGGTAATACTTGTTTCATGAATGCTATTCTTCAATGTTTATCACACACCGATTTAATGGTTGAATATTTTAATTCACCTTCATATTATGATCATGTAATGAGAAAACGACTCTCGCTCAATTCTAGTAATAATAATAGTAATTGTAATAATAATAATACCAATAGTAATAGTCTGTGTAAAAATGGTTCCAATAGTGAGGTTACCGCTCAATGTGCAAGTTTATTTCAATCTCTTTGGAGAAGTGACTATTCACCTGATATTTCAAGTAAATTAAAATCTTTAATTGGTAAACATTGTAAACAATATGAAGATGGTGGTCAACATGATGCCCAAGAATTTCTATTTTTCTTATTGGACATAATCCATGAGGATCTCAACGTTGCCATTAAAAAGAAGGCCAAAAAGTTCAAGGTAGGCTTAACTTTTTTTTCTTATTCTTCTTTTTATCTATATAATTAATCTTTATAAATGTTGGACTCGACACTTGATTGTTATAAAAACACATGAACCATCATCATTAGTACTTGTAAATTTACTCATTCTCTGAGTAGTCAACTTTTTTTTTCATTCTTTCCTTTTAAATTCAATATAATTCATGAGTAAATTTCACTGAAATGGTTGAATGATTTAAAGATCGCGCTGTAAAATAAGCAGAGAAATGTTAATCCACTAAGGGACCGTTAATACATAATTCTCATTTTATTGGGCTGTGGCTCTCATCCTATTGTTCAACTAATTCTGTTATTGTTAATTTTTAATTAGAACATCAATTCATACCTAATCATATTGTGAGCTTTTTTTTCACAGTCTTTGATTAACAATAACTAAAGAGAAAAAAAAGAAGAAAACAATTCAATTACAATTGTTATTTCTTTTTTTTATCTTTTTCCATCTCTGTCTCTCTGTCTCTCTCTCTCTCTCTCTCTCGCTCTCTATGTGATGATGACAGAGAAATTTCAGTAGAAAAAATTAATTGATTCTTAATGAATTTAATCAACTGACGACAAAGATTAAGTTGTTTTTTATTGTTATTCTTGTGTCAGAGTAAGTAACTGTAAGTTTGATATAAACTTTGATTGACTCATTACTAGTAACAATTAACTAATTATCTTAATTTAATTAATAATTGATACTTTTTAAATCGCGTGACTCAATCAGATTTCATGGTCATACTCAATTTCATCTATATTAAATACTCATCATCACCATGTTTTTTACTATTATTACTGTCGAAAGTGTTGTTATTTTCATTTTGATTAGAGTTAATTTATCTCTCTCTTTATTATTAATTAACAGATTAATTAGAAAATTGCTATTTGTAATTTAATTCAGTTATACATTAAATTTAATTTCTTCCCTATTCTTAAACTACTGTTATCATTTATCAGCACACAAATTTGATCTTGATGATTTCTCTCCATGTGAGAAAATAATTCAATCATCATCTTATTCTCTCCCTTTCCTCAAATTACAATTTATTTTCTTTTCTTTTCTTTGATGATACAATTTAGTATATCAGGTGGATAATTTTCCAATTACCTTGATTACAATTAGCGAAATAAGATGATTCCGCTGTTGGCATCATTCTCACCTTATTTCCTTTTTCAATTATCATCAACAATCAAAGTGATGGTACATTAATAATGATAATAATAACATATAATCATCAGAGATAATCAAATATCTCAAAATGGTACAATAAAAAACTCTCGATAACTCTGATAATGGTTATTAGAAAATTTCAAATATTGGAAACCTTGTTGACTATGATAATCTAGACAGTATATCATTAACCTAATTTTGAAACAATCCAGGTACATCTATGGTAATTATTTGGATGATGATGATGATTTGAAAGATGATAAAGATCAAGAATCAATTTCTGACCTAAAAAGGACTATTAATAGAAAAGAAACTATTTGATTCTATCAAGCCTGAAAATGTGATTATTTTTAGATTACTGACAAAATATCAACAATTTACCTTGATGGTGATTGTGATTCACAATGAACAACAACAATATTAATCAAACCCATGCTTTTATTGTTAAAAATCATGACAATATAACAGTAATAATTAGATTGTCTCTAATTCAGTTTCTCTCTCTCTCTCCTAATTTGATCGTCTTTTGAAAAATATCAAACATCAACATTTCTAAAATATAAAATAATTTTTCTGATTACATTGAAATTTAAACAATAAACTAATCATTCTTGTTTCAAGTTGATTGCAATTAATTTTGATTGACGAAGCCAAGTTTTTTTCCTACTTAGTTGTTTTTTGCTCAATCATTTTAATTATATATCTACACCAATTGTTTATTTCTACTTTTTTTTATACAATGATAATGTTGAAGATGAGAGAAATCAAAAAGATTATCACCATTTCTTAATCTATCATCGTTACACTAATCACCTATCAACAGAATTAAATTGACAGTTACTATTTAAGATTGTCTTCAAGATGATTCCATATTCATATAAGTAACTTGACAATTTATCTTCTCTCTCTCTCTCTCACCATTATAAGACTTCATATCAAGTAATCAAAACATTTATTTACAAAACAATAATTCTAATCCAATGTTAACAATTTACAATATCATAATCACTTCTACTAACATTTCATATTTTGTTACAATTTTGATTATTCAATAAATGAAAATCAATTGCTCTTATTACTAATGTTAATTTAATTGTAATTAAAGGCAAAATAATTGAGAAATGACCCAACAACATATACAATTAGATGTTAATTGATAATTGAATCATTTTGATGACTGGCAAGGATGATAAAAAAATGACAATTATTACCATGTCGTCATAATTAACTGTATCAATTAGCTATCAAAAAGAGTTGAGTTTTGTTATATTACCAATTACATGTTTTATTGATTTTATTTTATCTTCTCATTTACCACAGATTCCAACTACCTGGAACCGACCTGATGAAGTTATTGCCGCGGAAACTTTATCAATTCACACTCAATGTGACAATAGTTTCATACGAAAGGTTTTTCAAGCTCAACTGCGCTCTTCGGTTGTCTGTCGATCATGTAAAAGCCATAGCAATACCTTTGACCCATATATGTGCCTTTCATTACCGGTTCCTGCTAAACTTACACATATCAGCATAATTAACGTTTCATACCTTGATAAAGTTCCAGAAAAGGTTGGTTACTATCATCATTCAACTTATCTTCATGTTAAATCACAAATTAGATGTACATTTGTCAGGATAATCTTTTTTTTTCCTTTCTCTCTTCTTTAATTGTAAATAATCTAAATGCAACGATTAAGAAATCATTCCTTGATCATTGACTTGATTAGATTGATCTTCTCAAAAAGGATCCCTTTTTTAGGTTGATTTGTCTGTTGGTTTTTTATTTTATTTTATCCACTCTGTAGCTTTTTTATGTGCTTTTCTCAACCATTAAGGCTAATTTCAATATTAATTTATCTTATTCATGATCAAATCTTTTTTGACATTTTTTGATTACTTGATTTCTCTTGCTAATTATTTTTGTTTCTTTTTCTTTGTTGATAAATTAATTCGATTTTAGATTCGAACGGCAGTTATTGTTGAAGCTCAGGCAACTTTGAAAGAGATGAGACATAAAATATCACGATTAATTAAAGTTCCCGAGATCCAATTGGTTTTACTAATTAATGATGGATCCGATGGTATAAAGGAATTAAATCAATATAAGACACCGATTAGTGAATTTTTATATGAAACTGATGAAATCGAAGCCATCGAAACACCCAAAATAGAGACCGTTGATAAAGCTAAATTAGAAGCACTTGAAATACCCAAAATTGATATAAACGATTGTGACTCTCTGAAAACAACAACAACCAATACCGAACAATTAACCCTCGTATGGACTAATTCAGTTGGTTCTAGTGCTAACAAATTTTTCGGACCTTATTTCAGCTGTATAATTAATCGAGATTCAAGTTTTAAAGAAATTCAAAGTGAATTGGTACAAACCATGCAGCCAATACTAAAATTAGATTCTCGTACAAGTTGCATTAAAGAATTACCTTTATTCAAATTAAAAGTTGTTGGTGGTATCAAAGGTTAGTAATCTTTTTTATTACTCATAGAGTGATTCTTACAATAATTAACTTGACTTAAAAAGATGAATGATTCAATTTACTAACTATTTGGAATTTTCCCTCTTTTCTTTTTTTTTACAATTAAAAGGTCGATCTTATGTTCCTGAACATGGTGACCATCCTTTATACTCTTCCACCGTAAACGAAGCACTAGCTCATTGTAAGGAGAAAGATTATCGTGGGCCAAATTACGTGATGTTAATTGTTGATTGGGACGTAGATTTGAAGCAAAGTCTCGTTTTCGATGATAAAAAAGTATTAATTGTTACCGAGGATCCAAATATGCAGTATGTGATTGCCCGTAATCGTATGTTCAACCAAGCAACACTAGAAGATTGTTTTGAAATGTATTTTCGTGAAGAAAAACTTGGTGCTGATGATGCTTGGATGTGCCCTTCATGTAAAAAGAAGCAACAATGTATCAAGAAACTTAGCCTCTGGTCAACGCCCGATATCCTAATCATCCACTTGAAACGTTTCCGTCAAGCAACTAACCTAAAACGAACCAAATTATCAACATTAGTTAACTTTCCTTTAACCGGATTAGATTTAAATCCTTATTCAAGTAAACGAAAGCAACACAATGGTGCTGGTCCCTGTAAAAATGAAAACATAGAATCCTCAAATTATCATAATCGACATTCAAATAATAATTATAAAAATAGTGAGATTAACAATTTATCCTACATCTTATATCCTTGGAAAAAATTAAGAGAGAAAGAGGTTCTCCCCCATTATTCAGATGAAAACATTTATGATCTTTATGCTGTTTGTAATCACCATGGGAATATGTCATCAGGCCATTATACAGCTTATTGTCGTGATATAAATGATCATAAATGGTATTCATTTGACGATCAACAGGTCAACAAAATATCAGAAAGTTCAATAGCCACCGGGGATTCTTACATATTATTTTACCAACGAACCACAATCCCAACTTTCTCATTGACACCACCACTTGGGAAAAAAGCAACAACAATAACAACACAGTCCAAAAAAGTATCTTCACCATTAGCTTCATCAATAAATTCATCAATAACATCTTTATCATCCAGTTCATCGTCATCATCATCATCAAAATCATCTGATTCCGATCAATCCTCAATTGGTTCATCAACATCACTTTCAAATACCAGTTTAAATAGTGACAATAAATCATCACCGGTTAAAAATAAGAAATAATTTCATCTATAATTTTCTGAAACCTGTTGATTTGTAATAATTAAATCAGTGTATTCATTGTATTCACAATTAACTTTATGCTATCATCATTATCATCATCAGCAGCAGCAAAAAAACCGATTTGGATACTGCATTTAAGTTGCATTTACAACAATTAACCAAAACTAAATTGGTCATAATTTACCAATCACTTCCTTCCTCAAACTAATCAGATAAGATTTTTTTAATCACCAGACAAACAAATTACAACAATTATTTAATTTATTTATCTGATTAGGTACATAATTAACCTGTTAATCGTCAACAAAACAAACTTTTTACCTCTCATTCATTTGGTGACAATTAAGGATAACACGATGAAGTGTTGTCAATTAATATCTTATTTATCAACAATCAATAAGAAATTAATTATTTGTTGAAAGACTTTTCTGTTTTATGATAAGTTTTCGCTCCTAAACTGAACCTGATTCCAGAAGATCAGAATTTCAATCATTTATTCAGAGAAAGGGCTAATCATAGACAAGGAAAAGCGCCAATATTTTGAGCGGAAAGGAGAAAGTTTCAATCTCGAAGTATTGAAAGTGTAAAGCTAATGATGGGTTCTATCCAATTGTACTTATCATTGAATTTAATACAACCATCGATTAACATATCAATCTTAACAAATTAACAATTCCAATTAACAATTAAACCCTTGGAAAAAAATGTAAATTCAAACTCATCTTTTTTCCTGTGTCATCAGGATTATAACTTTTCCCTCTCTCTTCATCTTTCTTTTTGATTATATTATTGTTATTAATTTTTCTTTGACAAATTTTGATATTAATTATATTATGATATAAAAAGACAACAATTAATTATACAATCTATACGTTTTGTTAGTAGACACAACAACCAAACACACATATAAATAAAAATACAAACAACATTGTCTACAAAATATATTATAAATATTTCAATTAAGACTTGACAGTCAACAACTATAACAATTTAAACTAATAAATTGATTAAAGTAAACAACAATTAACTTTACAGTTACATTTCATTACAAATCATTTATATATATATAAAAATTAATTGATTGTGGGGATCATTATAGCAAAATCGTTTGAAAAAATGATCACAATCAATTAAATGAAAAAGTTGTCTTTCTAATTACAGGAAAACAATTGCGATTAATAGTAAAAAAAAATACAATTTAATTGTCGATCAAGAAACAAAAAATACTTGATCATTTGCAAGTTGATTTTTTTTTCTCGTGGCTCTTGTTAGTTTTTGGCAACATTTAATTTAATTGTTTCCTGTGTGTGTTTATGACCCTTAGTTGATTATGTTTAAAGTCCTTCAAATGTTTGATCAACAATTGATTTTGATTGTTGTTTATAAATGGCACCGATTCCAACTGCAGGAACACTGGAAACATCTCGTCCAGCATATTTAATCTAGAATGAAGAAAATAATAATTAATTAAATGATTAATTGAAAAAACGTTTAATTTATGTCAAGGTGTTTGATAGAAGATTATTGTTTCGATTTTAATTGTTTACCTTGATTCCTAAATTGTTTTCAAATCGAGGTTTAATGTAAGTCCAAGCTCCCATGTTTCTGTGTTCCTCTTGACTCCAAACAATATCTGCAATTAAACAAAAAAAAAGGTTTGTTGATTAATTATTTTCAAGGTGAAATTGATTCTAAATAATTAGGCTTACCTTTTATGTTTGATAATTTACTTAATTGTTTACTAATTTGGATTGTTGGGAATGGAGATAATTCTTCAAGTCGTATGATAATAACCTTGTTTACTAATTTACGATTAACTCTCTCTTCGTCTAAAGTGTAATAATGTTTTCCCGAGCAAAAGATAATCCGTTGAGGAGATAAAGGATTACGTGGATCAGGAAGTATCGATTGGAAATGATTACCTGGTCCAAAAGTGTTTAAAGGTGAGACACAGGCAGGATGTCGTAAGAGTAGTTTAGGTGAGGCGAGTACTAGTGGTTTACGGTAATTGCGAATCATTTGACGACGAAGAAGATGAAAATATTGAGCGGGAGTAGTTACATTGGCAATGGACCAATTAACTGCATCACCAGTTAATCCAGTTTCCGATGAGTCAGACATTTGAAGGAATCTTTCCAATCGGCAGGATGAGTGTTCAGGTCCAGCGCCATCATAACCATGAGGAAGTAAAATGGTCAGGCCACTTTGGAGAAGCCATTTAGCTTCGCCTGAGGAAACAAAAGTGTCCAAAATAATTTGGGCTCCATTGAAAAAGTCCCCAAATTGAGCTTCCCAAAGGACCATATTATTGGGTGAATCGACACTGAAACCATATTCAAATGCAAGAACCGCTTCCTCTGAGAGTATTGAATTAGCCACTTCAAGTGAGCCCAATGGGTTACTTGTTGAAGGTGAGAGGGAGGAAGATAAATTGTTCAATGGAATGTAAAGTTTGCCCGAAGTTTGATCAACCAACATTGCATGACGCTGAGAAAAAGTACCTCGGCCAACATCTTGACCAGAAAGACGGACATTGATTCCCTGATAAAGTAAAGAGCCCAAGGCAAGGGTTTCACTTGTTGACCAATCAATTGAAGGCTCGTTCACTGGTGATTGTAATCGTTTCAATCTATCGGAGACCAAAACTTTTGCTAAATTAGGGTGAAGATTAAATCCTTCAGGAATGGTGACCGATTGATGTCCGACATAGGAAAGGACGTCAAGTGGAACACCGGTATCCCAAGTGGTAATTACATTGACTCCTGGTCGGACACATGATGACCAGACACCTTGAAGATCACCATTATCCGCCACATAAGACTCTCGACTTTTATGTGCATCATTTAAACTGTCCCAATATTTTTTACTCTCGCTTTCTTTAACCTCAGCGGGTAAATATTTGTCACTCACAGTGGTTGGCATTGTTGATGAACGTGAGTGTATCCATTTGTACATAACAGGATTGGTCATTGTTGGGTCGTCAAGCTCATTGTGGCCCCAACGACGGAAACAGGATAAATCAATAGCAATATCTTTACAAAAAGTTTGTCGATATTTGAGAGCTAATTTGGACACTTTAATCACATCCTCAGGACAATCGCCGTTCACATGGATACATGGAGCATCGATCATTTTTATCACATCACTACAATAGGCCGATGATCGACCAACCACCTGACCTGGTGTAGTATAGCCAATCGAATTGTTAACAATCAAATGAAGTGATCCGTTAACGGTGAAATTAGGAGTTCCTGAGAGAGCCAACGTTTCCATGATCACCCCTTGACCTGAGAAAGCGGCATCACCATGAATTTGGATTGGTAAAATGGCCGATTCTTTGTTATCAAGACCATACGAGCCCTCTTTCCATCGCATTGCTTTAGACCGCGCTTTACCCATGACCACCGGAGAAACGGCCTCCAAATGAGATGGATTAGGAAGCAATGAGACACTGATCTGTTTTTCTGGTGCATAGTTGAGTCTAACGGTTGTGAATAAATGTGACAAAACGTCACCAGTGGTTTTTATGTTCTCAATGGTCAGATCAAATTCTGACAGTCCCGACATTTTACGGAATTGAGTAGCAGCCGGATATTTGAGTAGTATGTCTAGAAAATTTAATCGACCTCGATGTGGCATCCCGATGATTGCAGACCAGATTGAATATTTGTTACAAGCGGTTCGTAAAATTGTATCTAATGAGACCAACATTGCTTCCGCCCCTTCGGCTGAATAACGTTTAACTGTAGGGAATTTGGTTGCGACAAACTTGTCAAACAATTCGGACTTCATTAGTATTATGGCCATTTGTTGAGCTTCCTGTTCCGTTAAATGATTCTCATTGAGTCCAATTTTTTCCCATTCAGAGGCGAACCATTCACGTTCACCAAGATCACTAAGATGCATAAATTCAACACCAACGGTTGAACAATAAACCGATTCAAGGGTACGAACCAAATGACCTAAAGAGCAACGGCCCAAGTTTAAATTAGTATAATCATTGGCGTTAATTTCAGTATGATGATCATCTTGATATTGTTCAATAAAACGACGCAGCAACTCAGTAGACGAGTGATTAGGTTCTGAAGGCGATGATGGGCCTAACGGGTTAGTTGCCGCCAATAAGTGACCTTTAGCTCTAAATTCATCAACGACAAGTGTAAGATAAGAAGTTGATTGTTCATTAGTTACAATCCGTTTGATTAGCATCTCGGTCGCAGCTCGATCTTTGTCAAATGGTTTAACGCCGAAAACATCTTTAGTTTGGTAAAAACGATATCCACTAATAACATGATTAAAAGATGAACGATTAACTCGTCCAATTAGTCCAAGATTCATTCTAATCCGATTCAAACAATTACCAGGCCTTGGAATTGGAATCATCGTCTGTGTATAGATTTTACTTGTTTAGACAAAGAACAAAGATTAATCAAATTCAATCCAATTACTGTTGGTAAAGAAGAGATAAAATAATCAGAGATAATTATTGATTATCTCTGTTAGTTAAATGGAAACAGCAACAATTATCTATCTACAGAATCAATTATCTTCACCAATGGAGTATAACATATGATTTCTTTTCTTCCTTTAAATGTGAGGTCAAGTTCATTTGATTCTGATTGTTTCAGAATCTTTGTTTCCTTTCAATTAACAATTGATGATGATGTTGATTGTCTTTGGTATTAAAAGATAACACTTGATGGTTGGCCTTTTGATGTTATTGTTGTTATGATGGTCTCCTGGCTTTAATTGTTTCGCTGGTAGATTAATGGCTCTGTAAATAATTTAAGCTATGTACCTAATTGGTTGATAGTACAAGTTGATTTACTAATTGTTGTGATTGGAATAAGGAACACACATAAAGGTACACAGAGATGAAAAAGAAATAAATAAAAAGATTCCACAAGTATGAGAGAGAAACCTTGACGATAGGAAAACGTATTCTTTTCAATATGTTGAGAGAAACACATCACATGGATTTATCAGCTCACTTTTTTCTTCTTCTTCCTCATTATCGGTTTTTTTTTCTTGGTGATTATTATCAAGTGAAAGATAGAAACACTTGAATTTTGTAGTATCATGACAATCAACTAAACGGGAGACAACGACAACCAATTTATATTATCTTTGGCGATAGAAAATCTCAACCAGAAAACCAGAAAATAATCAGCAACGGGAAGATTTTAGTAAAGAAAATTTTGTAATTGTTCAGTTTCCATGGATAAATTTCAATGAAAAGATTTCAATTCAAGTGAAAATTAATCAAAATATCCAATTAAACATGAAATTATCAATAGACAACTGTGGTAACCGAACCATGGGTTAAGTGTATCCATGGGATCCACTAATTGGAGTTTTTGTTGATTGGGAACAATTAGAAGACAGATTATTATCCATAATTGTCGAAGATTAATAAACAGAATTAACTGGAAGTAAATTGGCAATTTTAAGAGAAAAGAGAATAGAACAGAACAAAAATATTCTTTTCTCTTCCAAAGACCAAAGGGAGAGAGAAAAAGAGAGAAGAGCAAATGTTTACATTCTAAACAGATGATTCGTTTTCTCTTCTCCATGTTGGTCTACATTTTTCTCTCTCTTTTTTCCCATTTTTCTTCTTTTATTTCTCTGGTTAGAATTTACAATTTCCATTAATTCCAATCAATCATTTCTCTCAATGATTGTCATTCATTAACTTGTTCATGTGCAACAATTAAAACCTGACGTGTTATAATCAACCGGTTAATTGGAAATACAAAAAAATGGTTACATTGAAATTCAACCAATACAACAGCCTAATGGAGACAATGGTGGATAAGCTTTTTTATTATTGTTAATCGAGTGTTTAATTTTACTCAATTTATGTTCAATAATTAAAAGTTTATTAGTAGTATTGGTTTGGTTTTAGCTTCTTTTGATCCAACAATCAACCGAATTGGTAATTTACCTAAGATCCCTGAAGCTGAATAACAAATACATTGATTTTCATTGATGTTTTTTTCTGATTACATTTGTATCAAGAGTAAGTAATTTACTATTTTTGTCTAATTATTCATTGCTTATTGATTTATGATCAATTATTGTCAATGGTTAACTGTCATTTCTGTTTTTGTCTAATTCTCTTACTTTTCTTTTGTCTCTCTTTCCATTCAGATCTCTTTCTCTTCCATGAGTTTTCATGTCAACAATTCAATCAATATTATAATTTATTGTGATGTGTATTTAGCTTCCTTGTCTAATTGTCCTTTGAAAGTTAGTATATTATCTTGAAAATCATGGGATTATTTGGACATCATTTCCGTCGGAGATCATTTCTCAAAAGTATTTGTTCATCGGTTAAATTAATGTTCATATCAACGGTTATTGAATCGGTTTCATCAACTTCTGAAGGTGTTCCTGGTGATGAATTATCTCAGTATTATTATCATTCCCTTGGATATGATTTAATGGTTTATGGAAGTGTAACATTATCCTTCTTCTTAGCATGGAAATTATTGAAAATTTATCGAGAATCAATAACAATTCCAGTCTATGATGCATCAAAGGGCCACCATTGGGTCTCTTTCCAACTTCCCCCTGTCATGGTTTCCAGTGTTGTCTTTTGTAATGTTTGTAAAGGTCTAATTGTTGATGGGCTTTATTGTGATTATTGTGGCATTTGTGCTGACAGTTCTTGTCATCATTCAGCTGACACCCAAATTCCTTGTAAATTATCCTCAGTTGGCCTGACAGAATCACCCGCTTTTCACAGACATCATTGGGTTCAAGGGAATATATCACCTCATTCCACTTGTACAGTTTGTGGAGATGATATTGGAGAGGAAGAAGATTCTCTGAAAGATTATCGATGCTGTTGGTGCCAGCGAACAGTTCATGAGGCTACTTCTTGTTTCTCTCAAATAGCTGAGACTCGATGTGATTCTGGCAAATATGCTTCATATATCATACCCCCTGAATCGATTAAATGTCAATCTGTTCGTTGGTATCGAGGAAGAAGTCGAAATTCTCGAGTAGTTTGCTCAATTGATCCAATTAGACCCTTTGAAAATTGGCGGCCATTAATAGTCATCGGTAATCGTAAAAGTGGAAACAATGATGGAGTCAAAATTTTACGCGCTTTCCGTTACATTCTCAATGGGTGTCAGGTTATCGATTTAGATGATGAACCACCCGAACAAGGTTTATATTGGTGTAAAGTGTTGTCCAAAAGTCATCCCGATGTTGTACCAATCATCCTTGCCGCTGGTGGTGATGGTACAATTGCTTGGATCTTGCAAACAATTGACAAACTTCAACCAAATCCAATGCCAATGATTGGCATTATCCCGCTTGGAACTGGAAATGATTTATCTCAAGTTCTTGGATGGGGAGCAAGTTTCAACTCAGAATCACCACTACGTCAAATAATGGACTGTCTGGAAAGGTCACAATGTGTCATGTTGGATCGTTGGTCAGTAAAAATATCACCATCGAGGTTTGGTCTCTCCTTTGCCTACCGAAGTCTAGTTATGAACAATTATCTGTCCATTGGAGTTGACGCTTTGGTAGCATTGAATTTCCATCAAACTCGAGAATCAAAATTTTACTCATGGTTCGGCAGCCGATTGTTCAATAAATTTTTATACTTCAGCTATGGAACCAAAGATATTCTGGAACGTAAATGTAACCAATTAGAGGGTAAAATTCACCTGGAACTGGATGGAATCGTCCAGGACTTGCCAGAATTGGAATCAATTGTCCTTTTAAATATTTCTAGTTGGGGTGGAGGTAAAGATATTTGGTCGATCGGTCGAAATGCTGAAAGCACTTTTCCAGAGCAATCTATTGACGATCAACTTATCGAAGTGGTTGGGATCACATCGTCTTTCCATATCGCCCAAATGATGGTCGGTCTTTCTGAACCTTATCGAATTGGTCGAGCTAAATCAGTGAGAATTAAAATCTTCGATCAACTTCCGATGCAAGTTGATGGCGAACCTTGGATTCAACATCCATGTACAATTAAACTCGATTGGTACAATCAAGCCAAAATGTTGAAAGTAATTCGATAGAATCAATTCTCATTAGTTGACTTCCCTAATCATCAAATTGTAAATTATTTTTACCAAATCACAAATTGTTTCTAATTTAAAAATCTCAATCCTCGAATCCTCTTGTGTGCAGAATTGTACAAATTGTTAGATTAATTTTAATTGTTGACTCACTTAATTGAATTCCCTCAATTTTGGTTCTTAATTATGATTCTGTTTTCAAAAACAAAAAATGAACCTTTAAATGTCCAACAATCCAACTCATCTGTTTACACAATCATCATTGTTGATTAATCTTGAGATTAATCATTTTATTTTGACACAATTTAACCAGGATTTAAATTGTCTTCCACCCTGAGAATATAACAATCAATTGTAATTAAAAGTTTAAAGGGAAAACTCAAACCCAAGCAAAGTATCAAAATCAGAATCAAATCAGGCAAACCAAATAAAAAGATTTAATTAAACAAACACTTAATTTGGAGACATTTAGATTACAAATTACAAGCTTTATTAATTGTTCCATTAATCTAATCACAATTAACGTTGATTGAAGGAGAATATGGGAAAAGCTTTCGCTTTAATTAGAGAAATTAGTTTTTTTCTTCTTTGTTCAGACGCAGTCGCCATCTATCGGTTTATAGAGAAAAAATTAAATTTTATTGAAAGTTTTTTTTGATTTAAAGTAATCAAACTTGTCAGAGAAATTTTGATTTATCTGTTATATATGTTATTTTTTTGTTTGTTTGTTGATGCTTTTATAAACTAAATCAATATTGTCAATTACTTCATCTAACCAGCATTGATTGTTTTTCTAATTCATTACAAGCTGCTTGAGCAAGAATCCGAAGGCAACAGAAAGGGTCATCGTTAACTGGAGTGAAGTCATTAGATGAAAAATATGTAATTGTTGTGTTGATGGGTGTAAATGTTGATGAAGATGAAAGTTGGTAATGATGTGATGGTGATGATGATGATGGTGGCGGTGTAAATGTGTGTGATGGTGGAATTGGTGACAATGATAATGATGTTAATGAAGATGATGAAGATGTTGATAGTGAACTTAATGAATATAAAGGTGATAAAGGTGCTGATGAAGGTAAAGAGGTAAATCCGCTGGCGATTGTACTAATTGCGGATGAAGATGAGTCTGATGAAACGATACCTGAATCAGCGCGACAAACATTGACAGGAGGAGGGATTACAGGCAAGTCGATTACATGACAATTTGATTGTCGGTCATTTTGAGTCAACCATGAGGCAACGGCTTTGGTTTTGTTGGGTGGACTACATGATAATTGAAGGGAAGCTCGAGAGAGACTGTCTAAAGGTGATGAGGTTGTGGTAATTGTTGTTGTCGATAATGAATCTTCCTCTAAATTTGATTCTTTTACAGATTTAAGAAGTTCTTGTTCATGATTGCGCCTCCATCGTTGAGACAATTTAATTGGTTGAGCTTCTAATTATAACAAAAAAGGAAAAAATAAAGAGAAAATACAGAAAAATAAAGAGAAAAGAAAATTAGAATCAACAGAAAAAAAACATGAAAAAGGTCAAAAAAAGAAATGAGAAAAAATTGTCCGAACAGAGATTTTCACACTTTCTTATTAGATTGTCATTAGAAAATATTCACTGTGACTCATTAAAAATGAACTCTATTATAGCGAAAAAAATTTCGGTCAATTGACAAGCATAATATGATTGGAATATGATTAGAAAAGAGTCTAATTAAATAATGATAATCCTTTATGGAAATATAAACAACTGTGAAAACGGAGAGTAATTTAGACTAAAAGTCTGACAGTTAAATTCGATTATTATTATGATTAGAGAAAATCAAACGACTCTATCCAACTAATTTCTCATTAGAAATAAAATCAAGAGCCAAACAAAAATGTTTGGCAAGAATAAATTGTCGGTCTTTTAAAATCTTCAATTGTCTGAAAAAATCAGAAGACCTTTAGAAGAAGAGGAGAAAAAAATGGATAATGTGACATAACTGTTCAAATATAATGTAATTGTCTAGGGGTGAAAATCACAGGGAAATCAACTAGTATCCATGGAAGTAGAACAATTAAAAAAAAGAATAAAAAATAAAAGTTGAAAGTTGAAATTTAAAAATGTTTTCAAGATTCAAGCAATATATTGATAGAATTGTGTATTTAATAGGCTCTCTTACCATTCCAAGAAGAGTTACCACTTGATGATGAGGACGATGGTGTGGGACTAATTGAACTTGTAAAGGTTAAGGTGGATGAGGAAGTACTTTCAATACTATCATCGGAATAAACATCTATGTCACTCTCAGTGTCTTCATTGCACTCGCTGTAATTAAGAAAAAAAAGAAAAAAAAAGTTTAATGATTAAAGTTGATTGTTGTTGTCATAAATACACACATTGATGTACAACAAAAAAGACACACACAAACACTATGTGTCATAAATGTGATCATGATTAATAGAAACAGTCTGGTAAGAGCGAGACTCTCACACAGATGCGAGACTTAGGATATCTATTAAATTCATGAGAGAATTAGGAAAACAAGTAAGAACCAGAGAGAGAAAGAGAGAGAGAGAGATGAAAAAGAGAAGGTAAGAGGAGAGTATCAATGAAATAATACATACGTCATATTAACGTTCTCTTCGGTAACATTGTTAGAAATGTAAGCAAAATTTTCGTCAGATGAAGATGAATTTGAACCGTGCAAAAAAGAGTCCGATGAATGATTTGATTGACGTCGAGTTGAACTTTTCCGAGTAATTGTGTACATAAGAGGATCATTTCCTTCTTTACGAATCATTTCAGGTAAGATACGTCGACGAGCATTGATAAACCAATTACAAACTTGAAGAACGGTAAGATTGGCAGCTTGGGAAAGGTGAAGTTTTTCTTGATCAGAAGGATAAGCATTATAACGATGATCATATAACCAAATCCTTAGAATATGAACAGATTCCTTTGGTAAATTTCCGCGCCTTTTACGGCTAACTTTCATTTTGGTAAAATGTGATTGATTCCCACAATTAAGATGTTCACTTTTATTAACAGATATTTGTTGAAGTAATTATGAAGATTAAGACCACAAGGAAAAATAGAAATCGAAAAACAGAAAATAAAGAAAATTAGTAACACGAATTGAAGCAAACACTTAGAGTCACTCTAAAAGAGTGACAAGAATCTTCTCAGATCTTTATAGAGAGAAGCAGATTAGAAAAAAAAAGAAAATTTTATGTCGCCATCTATCGGTGTGACTATTCAACTGCAACAGGTGCGCCTTTTTTCAAGTTTTTCTCTTTTGTTTCTCTCATTAAGTCAACTGATTGTTTACAGTTTGTTTTCATTTTTCTCATCGTTTTAATTGTAGAATTAAATTTAATTGTTAGATGTCTTTTTCGATTATCAGTGTCCTGCATTCTTCAGATCGGTGAAAGTTGTTGGAATATATGAAAAAGATGAACGAAGGAGGAAGAACAAGATTGGAGAAGAGTCTGAAGGGTGGAAGAGAGAGAGAGAGAGAGAGAGTGGAGACTCTTGTAGTGGGTACTTAACATGAATCCCAAATCTGATATTCTTCAAAATGTTCTTAACTCTCAAAGTCGTAATTATTAAATTAATATACTAATTTGGAGATTAACTCGAGAGAGAGAGAGAGAGAGAGAGAGAGAGAGAGAGAGAGAGAGAGAGAGAAAGAACGAGAAGTAAAACCCAGACCCCGAATCAGCAATTTTTTCACTTTCTCATCTCAATTGTTTTAATCAATTCCCTCTTAGGATAAACCTGGATTACGGCGACAGAGGAAAAGAGATACAAGGAAACAACAGCCTCATCTTCACATCGACTATGGAGTTGAAAATGGTTCAAGATCTACAATTATGATAACAATCAAGGAGAAAATTATGATTACGAATGTAACCTAATCTCTTTCTGAAACATGGAATCAAAGTTTTTTCTTCTTCTTCTTCTTCTTCTTCTCTACCTGATAGATTGAGAGGGTAAGTGATAGTGGCCTGGAAAACCTTGTTCATCTTAAAATTGTGTAAGTTTCAAGTTAAACAATTAAGAAAAAGATGATGATGAGAGATGAGAGACGAACAAAAAAAAATGTTGATGCAGCTCAAAAAAAAAAGAAATAATTACTTTGATTTTTTTCGTCATCTTCATCTTTACCTTTCAGTTACTCCATTCATCATGTACACACTATTATCGTCACCACCACCTCATCATCATCATCTTCATCTTCATCTCTAATTCTCATCCTTGTCTTTCAAGATGATCATCAAGAGGCCTCTGGATGTTATATGTGTTCAAGATACTTACAATATTTTGTTTCATTTGAGCAAAAGTTTGCTAATTTTAATCTCTCTCTCTCTCTCTCTCTCTCTCTCTCTCTCCCAGATGGTTATAATTATTATCATGATTTTATCATGATAATAATAATGATAATGATGATGATTATCTTCCCTATGTTTACCTAATAATTACCTGAAAGTATTAACACAAACAAAAGTATCAATCAATTTGATGTAACAGGAAAACAACAATTTACATCAAATTGAAAGTGAAATTGACTAATGAACTTTTCTAAATCAATTATCAATCCTTTATAATCATCATTAGATTAATAAATATCTCCAATCACCACCACCCACTTACAAACTAAAAAATGGCCACCCTTGAAATGCTCAACTATTAATTGTTACAACAATAATAATATTCAGCAGGAAATTGATGGCTAATTACTGATTTTAAAGATATTAATTAAATAGTAACAGGGTAAATCATGATAGTAAATTGGTAGACAATCAACTCAAATACCATAATTGAAAATGGTGTAAATAATTAATGGTGATATTGAGTTACTTTTATGATTGACAAGAAAAAAGTGATTAGTGTGATGTCTTGAGAAATCTAATTGATAGAACGACTAATTAGCTTTAGATTAGTTTAATTGGGTAATGTAAAAGTGCATCTAAGGCCCAAAGACACAATCAAGTTGAAAATCAAATTAATGTCAAAATTTTGTTTTCCCCAAAAAAATGAAGGTAAACAGAAAAGTTGGCGCGAAAAATTGATAATCCAAAATATAAAAAAGTGAAAATTTTTTTTTCTTTTTCATGTTTGAAAAAAAACTTTTAATTCTCATCTTTTTATATGATAACCTTTTCAGATTGATAGTTTTATTATTATCCATTTACCTTTAGATGTTTTTTATTATCTTCTTATATTTACCTGTGATTTTTTTATCTTCATCATAATCCATTAATATTATTGGTGTTATTGCTCTTGATGGTGCTCATCCTGAGGAGTGGATGAGTGTAGATGAAAAGGATTTGCGGGTTGATGGTGTTTATAAGATGACATTGTGTGTCTGTTGGGTTGAATTTTAAGCTGAATTAAGGTCCATGACTGTGGATTTGAGTTAATCCCTTTAAGACACTTCGTTAGTAGGGGGGAGTTGATGTTTAATGTGAAGAGAAAAATAAAATTCTTTTTCTCGAATCTTTTCTCTCTCTTTTCTCTCTCTTTTCCTGCTCTTCTTCGTGAATTGGGCCTATGCCCAATCTATTTTATCTCTTGCACTTACTCTGTCTCTCACTCTCTTCATACGAGGAGGAGGAAGTAGGAGGAGGAAGTTGATCCTCACACTAATTTTAATTTACACTTAAAACTAAGTAACCAAAACTTTTTAAATCTTTCAAACTTTTCGAGAAGATGAGGATGAAAAAGAAAGGGAATAATCTTTCTCTTTCTTTCTATTTGTCTCTTTTTTCACCTTCACCATATGTATCCCTCTCTCTCTCTCTCTTTCTCTCTCTCTCTCTTACTCTTTCAAATTCTCTGTCTATTTTTATCCATCATCATCATCATCCTCATCCTTATCGTCCCTGAATAAGATTCAATCAGTTTTTGCAACAATCTAAATTCATTTAATTTCTTCAACTATTCAATTCTAATCATCTTAGAATGAAAAGTTTATAAATATTATTACATAGAACTAATCATTTCAACAATTAAATTCCCATTCACTAATAATATTTAAATTGATTTCAATTACACTTAAAACTGTAATTTAATAGTTTCACTTTTCCAATTGTCACTTATGTGTATCAAATATCAACTCAAAATCAATAACATGAAATATCAGATACTTTGTGCTTCTATTAAATTTAACAATTAAAATTAATTGTTTCTCAACCAAAGGAAAACAATTAAAATAACAATAATCAACTTTGTCCCAATAACAATAACAAAAACCACAGAAATTTAAATGATCAAAAATGATAATAAACAATCAAAACAATTAACAAAAAGTTTTCCTAATTTAAAAGGTAACATGAAATATTATCATTCTGAATATCATCATGAATCATCATCATAATCATGTAATATCACCATGAAAATGATGAAACATTAATCAAGTATTAAAACAAAGTGAAAAACGTCAAATACAATAACAACAACAACAACAACAACAAGCAACGAATCTACAGTCTGATCAACAAAAAGAAACCCAGACAGTACAATAGGATGAACAACACGAAATAACATCAACAATGTCAGCGAGAACCTTGTTGTCCAAAAATAGGTTGCTCTTTTTCCCAAGGTTACAGGGTCATCGACAAGATGACGAAGGTCTCAATTTACACATATACCATAAAGTACCTTCGTAACTCCCCTCAACCACCACCACCGCCAAAAAACACACACAGTGAAGAGGAGGAGGTGGAGGGAAACAAAACCCAATAAGAAATACATTAGAAAATGATAAAAGTTAAAAAAAAATAGTTGATTTTTGGTAAACAGTAAAAAAAACAATCAACAAACTTGTCAAGTATCAGATTGTTGGTGTTGAGATTTTTTCTTTCTGGTTCACTCAATGATTATGATGATTATCATTTGATCATCAAAATGATCATCATAATCATTAACTGGTAACCAGTGAAAACTAAGTCATAATTTAATAACAACGGTGGCAAGTATATTATATCATTAATGATGATGATAAAAATTATTTACCTTTATAATCATTTACCTTTTACACTCAACTTTACCTGTTATAAATGTAAAACCATTATCAAAAACTATCATTTTACAATCAAGTTGATTGTTAACAATCAAAGTGATTGTAAGAGAGACAAAAAGTCAATGTTGACTTTTTGAAAGAAACAAAGTTTTCTCTTTAAATATCATCATGATTAGGATTACATAGGAAATGATTAGTTTAATATACTTGAGATGATATTAGGAATTAGGAAAAGTGAGTGAGAGAGAGAGAGAGAGAGAGAGAGAGAGAGAGAGAGAGAGAGAGAGAGAGAGAGAGAGAGAGAGAGAGAGAGAGTAATCTAATCATCTGATTAGATTTTAAATGGGGAATTAAATCTCTCAACAATCAAGAACAATGTATCAACCTAAATTGTAATCAAATGATATTTCGTATCAAGTATATGGTGAAAAAGGATAACTTTTTTTCCACTTACTTTCACCTTCTCTGTGGTTGTTTACCTTTTGTTGAGAGATTTTCTCTCTCTCTCTTTTGTTTATTATTATTTTCTCTCTTTCTTTACTTTCTTTTTTTTCGTTCTTTCCTTTCGTTTTACCTTCGATTAACTCGTCAAGGTAAAGTATATATTATATATTCATAGTAATCATTTATATATACTTTGTTGCTATTGCTGTGTTGTTACTGTTGTCAGTCAACTTCAAATTGTTATTTCATAATATTATTCACTGACGATGAGCATTCATAAAACTTTACTCACTCTAACGCTCACTTTTTATATCCCTACTAACTGATTACTACCAAAAACTTGCTCACTACCTGTGTTTCTGCTGCTGGTCTCACCTTCGTAACTCAACCAATTCAATGAGAAGAGAAAAAGAAAGGATAAGAATAAGGAGATAAAGAGATAGAAAGGGAAAGTGAGAGAGAAAGAGAGAGAGAGAGAGAGAGAGAGAGAGAGAAATATATTCGCTCTAACCTCGCTCAACGAATGACTGAACCAACGATCGAGTTACGAAAAGAAGGGAAAAAATGAACAAGGTAACATTCATTTTTTTGTGTTCGACTGTAATTGAATCAGGACTTTAACCCCATGGGCCCAAGGAAAAATGAGGCTTACAGGCTTTTTATATATCCATGCATATATTATACTCACTTGCTCACTCGGCAATATAACTACGTTGTTATAACCAAGTGACCTTAATTGACGTAAAATTTATGTATCTCTTTCTCTCTCATTCTCTCTCTGTCAAAATGTCCTTCAAACGATAAAAGAGGAAGAAACAACCTTGGACAACCAGCATTAACAGCATGGAAAGTAACAACAAACCCTCTCACTCTCACTCTCACTCTCTCACTAATAACGAGTTGCAACACCAGCAAAGTGAATGGTGTATATAAAAAATCCCAAAGAAAAGTAACTTTGATTTTGCAGAGATGCAGAAAAAAAAACTCGAAATCACAGAGGGAAAATTATCTTTGATTGTAGAAAAGATTTTTTTTTCTCTTCTAATCAATCTTGAGTTAATTTTACCCATAGGAAGATAAATTCAATCCAAAATGACAGATAAATACTCAACAAGTATCAACATGATGATCAACTTTATTGCGCAAAAAAAAACAGCTCAAAGAGAGTCCAAAACTTTTGACAGTTTATATTTTGACAATACTCATTCATGTTATCATCATCATCATCATCATCTTCATGATTGCATTGATTGTTACACCAACAACAATTACTACTACTATCAACTACTGTTCACTGAGTATCTTGAGTGTATGAACTTTTTTTTCTTGTGGGTTTTTCATGTTACTTTTTGGCACAAATCGGATACAAGATTTTGAAGGTGTTGCAAGTTTGAGTCTGGAGGGAAATGGAGAGAGAGAAAAGAGATGAAGATGAAAAAAGAGAGGGAAAAGGAGATGATGATGATAAGAGAGAGAGAGAGAGAATCAGATATTTTGACAAAACGCTTTTGTTTTGACTGAACACACGTAAAAATAAACCAGCAATCTTTTCGTTGTCTCTATTTGTTTGAGCAAAAAGATCATAAGTTACATGAACGATAGCGTGACAATAACAAATATGAGAAAAATCAACAAAGGTTTTCAAGGAGCAAGATGAAGAGAAACGATTTTCATCCAAAAAGAAGAAGAAGAAAAAAAAATAGTCAAAGATGAAGATGAAAACTCTACTTTTGTTGTTTTCTGTAAAATTTGAAGAAAATGATGAAAGATGGAGATAATGATAGATGGAAACATTTATCTTCCAAGCAATCAAAGTTTCTCTCTTTCTGGTTCACAAAGAGCATCTTCATCCTCTTTCCTTTTATCAATCGACTGTAATTCAATGATCAATATCATCCTCACCCTCATCTTCATCTTTATCTTCATCTTCACCTTTCTAATTTTCCCACCAACAGTATTTATCATTTTTCATCCTCATCACTTTTTGTCTATGGATGCAAATCATTTGCATCATCAAAATTAAGATCAACCATCAACCAGATATTATCTGATTGGAAATGATTTAATTGCAATTACTGTTGAAATCAGTTGCATGGATTAGTAAATCATTTGATCATCATAATGTACATTGTTTTTAACCACTCAAATCTAGGAATTGACAATTAACCGTTATTATTGTTTGATCTGAGGGAGAGCGATTAACTTATTGTTTGTTTTAATTGTGTTGTTTCAATTAGAGATAAAATTGACAATAGTAATTAGATTATCATCAGACTAATTTGATAATACACTTAATAAATTGTTTCCTTTTCAATTTTAATACTTTTGTTACAAATAATCAATATAAACAATTGTAACCATCACAATTAATACAATTAAACAAGTTCGTGATGATAACGTTGATGTTAATTGGTAAAACGATCAGATTGATTTTCATGTTAAACTTACCTTGATTTAGATTGGTTAGCTAACAATTAACTACAGTTATCAAATCAATTCCCGGACCCAAGAGATTTTGTCTCTTTGAGACTCTTAATTGTTTAACTATCCATCAATTCCCATGTTGATTAGTTAAATCATTGATTGTGCTTTTTTTTATTGATATAATAATCAATTGGAATTTTCTTAATTTGAAAAAGTTTCTCAAAAATCTCACACCACAATCAAAACTCAAAGGAATTGGAAAGTTAACAATTAACAAGGGAATTAAATTGCTTATTGACAATTAGGGTCAAATTGATTACAGTTTAAAGGACAAATTGTTTTGCTCTCTAAATAATTACAAGTTAATTGTTAAATGGCAAAAAAAACACACACCAGACATGATTAACAAACAGAAATTTACAGTTTGACAATTAATTATAATCATGTTTAGGATAAAAGTTGGTTGATTAAAAGGTTATAAATGATAAATCAACAATTAAAAACAACAACATGTAAACAATCAATCAAAAATGTCAATTAAGGATGACAGTTATAAATGTTATCAGATTAATAATAATAAACACCAAAAGTTTTTTATTAACTTTGTGGTTATTGTATTTACCTTTGTAGGTGAATATGAATATCATGTGTATCAAGAGGGATTAGAAAGAGATTAAGATTAAGATTTGAGTAGATGATGATAGTAAACAATGAGGAAGAGAAGTAGAAAAGGTGAATATTAGATGAAAGATAATGGGAGTAGGAGGAAGATGATAGAATCATCGGAAGGAGGAAGAGAGAAAGAGAGAGAGAGAGAGAGAAAAGTTTTTCTTGGAAGAAGAAGAGGAAGAAAATTAAAGATCGATGAAGATTAAGATGATAAAGGTAAGATAATTTATCTATTTGTCATTCATTAATTTCATCGAACCACCGGCATCACACCTCCCACCATAAGAATGAAAGATGATGAGGATGATGAAGGGAAAATAAGACAAACTTAAACTTCGTTATAATAACTATGATTCCCTTTGAGAGATAGAAAACAGAACAGGTAAGTTTACCTTTTTTTTTTCTTTCTTTTGTTATTCTGTCAGTTACAATGTTGCCGAACTTTTTTCCCTCTCATTTCAACCTATTGGTTTAATCATGGATAACGTTTCCGGCGCTTAAGGCCAAATATATACTTGAAAAGTGAGTGAGAAAAAGAGAGAGAGAGAGAGAAAAATAATCAGTTGTCAAATGGCTCTTTCACTTACCTTTTCCACCTCATTCTTACCTATGGTTGTAATGCCTTTCTCTTCATAGCATTTCAATCAAGTCTCTCAAGTCAAAAATCTCTCACCTTTACCTGTTGTTACCTTTTCCATTTACTTTTCTCTCTCTTCTTTTCAAAGAAGAAGAAGAGAGAGAGAGAGAATAGTGATCAGAATTAGATACTACTGGTTCCTTTGGAGAGAGAAAAAGTTAAAGGCTTTAGGGATTTAAATGGACCTTGTAAAACTCGTTCTTACCTGGAATTTGACATTTACCATCCTGATGATTTTTAAAAAGAGAAAAATAAACAGTAAAAGACTAACAACTTGATTGCAAACAATTTATAAATTACTGATAAGCGTAAACTCATCAGCACCATAATAATATCTAACTTTTAATTGTGTGTCTCAATAATTATCATTCCATATTTATGGCTATCATAATTTTCATCAGTTGTTTTTGTTGTTTTTTTCCATGTTCCTGTTGATAATTAACATCTCACCAATTGATATAATTATTTTTCTCTTCATCTACCTAACCAAATCAATTGGAATTGCAAATTCAATTGAATTAAATGATTATATGTTTACTTTATTTTCTGCTGATATAATATGTTATTTATCCCATTGGATTATAACATGTATCATGTATCATCATCATCATCATATTATTTATTGTTTATTTACTTTCCCATGTGTTAGATCAAACTTTTTTTTACTTACCTTGACCACCATATATATTTATATATATTACAACCTTTGAACTTTTACCCAATATTATTATATATTTACTAGACCATTGGATAATAATAATGATGATGATAATAAATGGTAAACATTGTTACCTTGATTTTTTTTGTTTCTTCTTCTTGTTATTATTATTATTACCTTTGGTTAATATGTGTATCTACCTGTAGCTTTAATAATAAACCTATGGAATCACCTTCGTGGTTTGATGCACCAGGTAACAACAGGAATAATAAAAAAGAGTACATTTACCCGCCCTAGAAATTTTTGGTTACCCTGTGTGTGTGTGTGTGTGTGAGTGTTGATGGAGGTGGAGGTGGTAAAGGTGGGCATGAAGATGATGATGATGGTGATGATGATGTTTTGTGATGATAAACTTCACTTATTTGCCTGACTGATTGCTTACTTGTTGTTGTTATTTATCTTGGGCTAATATTTACCTTCCACCCTCCTCCATCTTCATCATCATCATCACCATCTCCTCCCATCATCATACAATTCCCATTGATCATCATCATCATCATCCAGCAACAATGATGATGATAATGATGATACGAGCAAAAGTAGAGCAACGAAAACTAAACCGATGAAAGTTCAATATTGATGTTTAATTTTCCTTAATTCAAATTAATGTGATTAATTTTTAATCGATTATGATTATAATCTGATTGTCAGTGATTAACAAACAGAAAAATGATCATAACAACAATCAACTGACACTTGGAAACTCATTGGACTTAAAATATAATCTAAATAATTTAATTTTAATGCTCTTGAAGATGATTATTATTAAGTAATTTAATTAGTAACCATCAGAAAAAAATAACAAAATATTAGGTTAATAATCATACAAATAATAATGTAGTAATCAAGATGATTATCATCATCATTATTATTACCCAAATTAAATGTTAAAATCACAAAACTAAATCAAAAAGATGAGATAATTAAAAATCAAAGTTTCTAACTTGATTCAATATTAACAAAACCCTAAGGGTAAATTATATTGATCATTAGCATCAATGGTTAATTTGGCTTTAGGCCCATGGAAAGTTATTAGAATAGTTTATTTCCTATGGAATGTGGTCCTAGGTCAATGATGATAATATCATCATCGTCATCATCATCATCATCCCAAAAATTTGCTTCTAACTTTACATTAAAGTCAAACCAAAAAAACGCGCGAAATTTTTTTTTCACATAAAACATTTTTCTTCAAACCAACAAGTTATTTCACAATTTAAATTTATCCTCATCATCATCATCATCATCATCATCATCATCTAATCATCTTAAATATCATCTTCAATCACCATCCCTCCTCCTTAATCCTTGGGGGCTTAATTAATTATCAAACCTTAAACATTAACCTGATCCATAGGTAAAAAGTTTTGATTCAACTCATTGATTAGTAACATTTGATTGTTCAGATCTGATATAAGTTGATTTTAACTTTTTTATTAATTATCTTTTATATTTAATTTGATTGTGTTAATCTGTTAATTAATTAGCTTTTTTTCTGAGTCTTTTTTAGTTAAATTGTTTCAAATTTAATTCCCATGGTTTTTTTTGGTACTTTTTACTTTACCTCAGCTTAATTGCTCATGTTGATTGTGAATAATTTGTTTGAGTTAATTAATATTCAAGTTTCACGTTTTAACTGTTCATAAGTTTGATTACTTTTGAATTTAATTTACATTCAATTAACTAACTAAGTTTATATTTTTTGGTGTTCGTTGTTAATAATGATGTTTAATGGTTTCAAATTGATACTAAATTGTTGATAATCATTTTGTAATCGGAAATTAATTAGGATCAGCTAAATTCAATCATGATTAGTATTGATTTCATGTAACTTTTTAGTTAAGTTAATTGTTAATTTTTGACACGTTGACAGTTAATTTTATGTTTATTATTGTTGTTACAACTGATTAAATTGTTACAAACAATTAACGCGCAAATTTATTTACATTGAGTTGATTATGATATATATTAAATGAAAGAGGATGAAGAAAGTAAAAACTAAACGACAATTAAAATTAATTGCAACGTAATCAGTAAAACAGAAATACATCAATTAACATCAATGAAAATACACTTTGAATTAATTTAGCTTTGAGAAAAGTTTAATTTAAATGTCAACAATTAACTTAAAGGTATCATTTTTATCATCAGTTAATCACCTTGATTGTGCTCATGTTAATTATCATCAAGTTAATTTAGTAATTACAATTAAATGTAGACATCTAATCAACGTCTAGGATGAAAAGTCAAATGAAAACAACAAGACGAGTGAGTGATTAAGTTAATTGTCAAAGGAAAAAACAAAAATTATATACACATCAGCAATTTAATGATAAGTGATTAAAGACACAAATCTAGTAAGGATTAAATTGCTAAATCGTTAACCGTTAATCTTAATCCAGTTGTAAATTAATCACTTTCATCGTTAATCAATGATGAGGATAAAAAAAATCAAAATAATATTTGGATTAAATTGGATTTGCACTTAATGACATTGAGATTGGATTTAAACAATTTAAATACAGAAATACATTATTGTCACAATCATCTTGATGATGGTGATGATGATGATCATCATCAATTTAATCAATTTCATCATGATCATCATCATGATTAAGATTCAAGGCTTAATCCAGACGATAAATTGAAAACCTTGAAAAAATTTCAATGGTTAATCTCAAGTTGGAAACGGAATAATTTGAAGAGCTTGAGTAAACATTATGATAATCAATTGATTTGATTACCACTGGAACATGATTAACAATTAACGCACACACATTAATTTATACTAATCACTCAAAATCAACTGACAATTGACTTTTGTTTCAATAATCTATAAACGATTACGTTTGATTAAATGTATCAATTTATTATGTTCAATAATTATCATCACAATAATTAATCAATGAAACTCAAGAAAAATTTATTAAGATAAGTCAATTGAATTAAATCATCTGATAATTATTGATGATCATAATTATAATTGTTATAAATGTAATTCTAATTAAATCAAGAAGGTAATATAAAGATAAAGGTTTAAAAATAGATTATTGAAAATGGATTAATATTCAATTCTTATGTTAATTAAGCTCATCATCATCACCATCATGAATATGATTAACTTGACGTTCAGATAATAACGATGTTAAAATTGAAACATTGAAGTAAAGTGTAAAGTTGATGAGGATGAAAAAAAATATTATTTGATCCTCAGATTTAATTATTATGTTTATCATCATCATCATCATCATCATCACCGATAATAATAACAATTGACAAGATGTGACAACCTAATAGTAAAGATGGATTAACTGTTAATCGGATTAGTTATATTATCTTCATTCAGGGATAAGAGTAAGAAAAAAGTTCAATTGAATTCAGGAAAGTGAAGGAATCTGATTCTTTGTGTGAGTTTGGGTGCGACCAAAGATGATAAAGATGATGATAAGAGAGAGAAAGAGAAAGAGAGAAATGAGATTGAGGATATAATGATGATAATAATAATGCAAAGAGATGATAATTTTTCTTGGTGCGTTTCAAGTCTAAGATTGAGAATGGGCCAAGAAAAGGATGATAAAAGATGAAGATGAGGATGAAAAGGAAGAGGCAAATGATGATCAACCCACAATAAGCAAGTGAAAAAATGTGCAACCTCAGCCTCAAATCTTCTTATGTCTTTCTCAATCTCTTTCACTCTCTGTCTCTTTTGTACCATCATCATCATCATCTCAGGTCTTCCACCTCCACCTCCTCATCTCCATCTCCATCCTCACTCTCTCATCATCATTTGAATATTTGTGAAGTTTGATATTTAAAGTAAACTCAATCTTTCCAATTTTTTTTCTTCTTCCTCCTCATCTTTATCATCATCTTGTTAAACATTTTTTTCATCTTCATCTCTCTCTCTCTCTCTCTCTCACAAATACATTCACTCTCTTGGCCCATCTCTTCATACAATCATCCTCATCATCTTTTCACCCTCCTCCCACTTTCCCTCCTCATCTCGGCGACATATTCACTCGTAAACATTTGAACTTTACCATTTCTGTGATTAATTGAGATGACAAAGTTTCCACTCAATCAGTTGAATGTAAATTATCATGAGTTGACAAAAAAAATCAACTGTCACATAGTTTTAGTTAGTTAACAGTTATAGTAACAATTGAGTTATGATGATGAGGATGATGGAGATGATATCTCTCTCTCTCTCTCTCTCTCTCTCTCTTCACTTTTTGATTTATTCTATCGTCGAATTAAAAATTTAAGCTAATTAATGACCTGGGTAAGTGTTTTAATGATCCCAATTGATTCAGTTGTTCCAATCATTTAATTGATCAACTTTTTCATTCAATTTTCGAATTTTAATTTTGATTTGTCGTTTTCACTTAATGATTTCCGATTAATTTTTCATTCATTTTGAGATTTTCATCTGCCTATTACTAAACATCCGGTTGCAATTAGCTAATCATGGTCACTTTAAGCTTTAAAAGCTTACCTTGTCCTTTTAATTGTTACAATTAAATGGACTAACCTTTTAAATTAACTGTACATTAACCAAATGTTGTTGTTGTTGTCTTAGGCCTTAGGCCTCGGATGTTAATCAATCTCATCTGATTGCAACAATTAACTGATTATAAGCAAATTGAAAAAGTTTCTCACACAATTAGTTAACTAATCAATTGAGTGACCAAATTATCACTTAACGTGTTTAATAAATTTAAATCCATGAGAAATCAAATAGCTACAATTAAAAGTTAACCATCAAGTTAGTTTAATGATTAAGCTGATTTGCTTAATTGCTAAAGCCACCAAATTAAATTCAATTTAATTGTTCAAAATTTATTAATATCATAAGAATTATTAATAAATCTAATTGTTGACAACAATAAAGTTTTTTAATCCAGTTAAACTATGAAAACGGTTATTATTTTAATCACAGTTAATTGCTAGTGATTAAAGGATTTATTGTTAATATTGAGCTTTTTTAATCTTCATCTAAACTTTTAATTATTCACACTGATTATCACGATTATATTATTAGCTCACAATTTAGACCCGTTAATTGTTAAGTAGCGACAAAAAAGTCAATCAAAAAGTTAATCAAATTGTGGTTCAAATAAATCATAACAAATTGACCATTCAAATGATTCAAGTAATTAACTGATTAACATTGAGCAATAATTGATATATAATTACCTTAATCTAATGAAT